TTTCCAGAAGGAGCAGTGCAGCCAATTTGGGTACGTGCATCACCACAATGGACCCAGAGAAGCTCCTTGTCCCATCGTTCCAAAGACTTAGAGTTGCCCCGATGACAGCAAAGCAGAAAAATGAAGAAAACGAAGGCTACGCAAGGGACCAAGGTGCCAACATGGGGTCAGCTGAAGAAGTTAACAACTGAGGCCCAGCAGATGGTAGAAAAGCAAGATGTGGAAGCTACTCCCTCAATCATGTTTCTGGCTATGCTAGCAGTGGTTGGTGGCCAGTCTTCTGTAAAGTCTTGTGCAGCCAAGTCCGAGGACTCTGAGTAAATCAGCAAAAGAAACTTTCATTTAGTAGAAACTCACTTATTGCTGATTTGCATTGGCATTGTTTTATTATTCTTACTAGTTTTAAAAATGTTAACACATTGGCATTGTTCTGTTAATAGCCAGAGCTTTATGTTTAAGTTTTAAAATGTTAACATGTATGTAGTTTGGGTTTTGCATTGGCATTGTTTTGTTGTTTTAATCGCCAGAGTTTTGTTCTTGATGCTTAAGATTTACTTTCATTATAGTAGCTTAAAAATAAAAAATAAAAAAAAGGTGAGATGTAGGGTGCGACTATAGGGTTAAGCCTCGGACTGACCTGTTGGCAAAGCCACAAACAAGTCCCAGCTTAGAGGGCACAGTCCTCTTAGCATAATTAGACTTGATGTTATGACGCTCCCTAGATCTTATCTGGGAAGCTAATGGGCTGAGGGAGGTGCAGCAAGTGCTGCCAAAACAAGTGAAATTCGCAAGAACATTGTAACTATGGTGACCACTACCTTGTTTACCTCTGGCTATAAAATAAAGGCTCAGCTTGCCTCTGGATCTCTCTCTGTGGCCTCAGCCAGGCACAAGAAGATCCACCTAGACCCAGCATATTCTCTCTGTCTGTCATTTCTCCATCCTTTTGCCGGCCTCACTCAGGCTTGTGAACCCTTGGCTGAGCTGGCTTGGCACAAGAGAGAACTTTAAAAACTATCATAACTTCCATTTGAATGCTTCTGTGCCTATTTTTGTCTTTCCTGGAACACTTAAAAACAAACAAACTACAACCTAGCATTATGGAAAATTTCAACTACATACAGTAGTAGGGAGAATAGATCCATTTATCAACAGTCCAGTTTTAACAATCATCAATTCATGGGAAATTTTGTAAACCTCTTCACTTAATCTTACGTGCACACTGGATATCTAGAAGATACTCTGGTTGCTCCTCAGATCGCATAAACCTTTCACCTTTTACTTAAATATTTAATTATGAAATCTAAAATATAATGACTCTTTAGAAACATAACATAATACCACACCTAAAATTCCTTAGTACAGTCCATATTCAATGTTTTTGATTGTCCTACAAGAATTATTTTTTACATACATTACAGCATCCACCCTTCTCTGAGGGGCACACAGTGTGAGAGCTTATCATATTATTCAGAATGGCATGCAATTTAAAATTTATGAATTGTTTATTTCTGGAATTTTCCATTTAATATTTTTGGACTGCAGTCGACTGTCAGTGGCTGCAGTTACAGAAAGCCGAACTGTGGCTAAGGGGGACTACTGTTGTAATGTACCCCGCAAATCACACAAGGACCCCTCAAGAAGCTTAATTAAGGAGTCACATTTATTTCAAATCTGGGACTATGAGAGGGCATTTTGCTCTCTCAAATCTCGTAGTGATTACATAGCCCCAACACCAGATTAATATAGGCAAAAATCACAAAGGTATTGATTACATCTCAGGGTTTGGAATAAGGAACCTGGTTTGCAAAAAAAGCAGTTTGTTACAGAGGCTAGATTGAACCGATTAGTTACCTACAAAGATTAATTATAGTTTCAGGTCTTGGGACAACTGAGTTGACAGAAACACATTATCTAGAGCCATCGGGTCTTGGGACCACTGAGTCAACGGAAACACATTATCTGGAGCCACTGAGGCAATTTAGAATAATTGTGCTGTCCTAGTCTTGGGACCACTGAGTCAACCGGAATGCATTATTTGTAGCCACTGAGGCAATTTAGGGTAATTGTGCTGTCCTGGTTTCCAGGTACAAAACAATGTGCTTCGATAACCATAAGATCACAATCAATGGGATATTCAACCCACCAACAATGGAGTATTCAATCAATTGGGATAGCATACATATGTTTAGAAAATCAAAATAACTTTTCTATTATTTTAGCAAGCAAATAATGACAGAAGCCAAGTCAGCAGGGTTAAAATATTAAACAGCAATTCCCACCAACCATGGTTGCCACCATGTTTCACTACTGTATATCATTAAACTGATATTGATAATATCCCTTCCAGATAAGTATTATTAGCACTATTTTACAGATGATGAAACTGAGGCTTAGAGAAATTCAGAGATACACTCACAGATATAGCAATAATTAGTGACAAACCTGGGACTAAAATCTAAAGTTTATGCCCTTTGTTGAATACTTCCTATCATTTTACATCACATATAATTTGTTCTCCCTTTATGTTCTCTCCCTCTGTCTCTCTCTCTCCCTCTCCTCCCAGTTCCTTTTCTTCCACCTGTTCCCCACATTCCCTATTCCCCTTTTGCTTTTTCTCCCTTTGATCCTTCAACCAGCTACAGGGTTACTACAACTCTCACCCCAGTCACCTTTGCAAGCACAGGCCACATGAGGCACTTGCTTAATTTAAAGCCCTAAAGTCCTTCAGATTCTATACACCATTTTGGGGGGTATTTCTCCTTTTTCCTCTGAAAGAATCCTAAGCCAACTAAAGGAGCTTAGATCTAGAAGACTCTATTCACTTTGTACCATAGATTGGATTTTATGTTTTAAGACAGCATAAAATTTTTCAGAGATAGAATTTATACCAAAAAGTAAACTATCTTGCCCTGGCCAGTGTTGCTTGGGGCTTAGAGCATCCTCCCGTGCACCAAAGGGTCACGGGCTTGATTTCTGTCAGGGCACATACCCAGGTTGTGGGTTTGATCTCGGTGGGGGCATGTGCATGAGGCAACTGCACATTTTTCTCTCTCGCTTGCTCCTTCTCCCTTCCTCTCTCTAGAATCAATGAAAAACATCCTCAAGTGAGGACTTTTCTTTTTTTAAAAAAGTAAACTACCTTCTCCGTTTTGTTGAAGGTGGGTGATGAGTACGTGAGGGTTCATTATACTATTCTCTCTACTTTTGTGTATGTTGGAAAATATTTTTGTAAGTAAAGACCAAACCTCTCTTCTCTATACTTGACATTCAGCAACTGCCTTCCCTTCTTATCGTATATTCTCTACTTAATGTTATGGTGAAGCTTTGGTTTTCAAAATGAAGTCTCATGTTGTACACCTCATTGCAGCATCATTCACAATGGACAAGACATGGAAAGAACCAAGTGTCCTTCAATAAATGATTGGGTAAAGAAGAGGTGGTACCTATATACTATGCAATACTACTCAGCCATAAAAAAATGATGAAATATTGCCATTTGCCACAACATGGATGGAGCTTGAGAGTTCCATGCTAAATTTATACAATTTTTATTTTTCAGCTATCCCTCAATAAAATATAAAGAAAGACTAATTTCTGAAGTAAATTTCTTATGACCCCAAGATTAAGTCAAACTTATTAAACTACTTAAATAAAGACAAACATCCTTGTGTATTTTCTCCTTTTTTCATTCTTCCCCCCCTTTTATTTCACCAATTTTATGCTTATGGAATGTGTGGATGCAGGGAAATGGAAACACGTCTTACAACTCAGACTAAAGCACAGTGCTTTTGACTACAGTGGATTCAGTCATGTGCTGATGGCTTCATGATTCACCTGAAACTTCAAACCTGAAGGTTTTTTTAATCAGATTTACTTACCAAGTGTCCTGCTGTTCTCATATAGAACAAGTTTTTATTTATTAACTAGAGGCCCAGTGCATGAAATTCGTGCAAGGGGGGATCACCTCAGCCCAGCCTACACCCTCTCTAATCTGGGACCTAAACTGGCAGTTGGACATTCCTCTCACAATCCAGGACCACTGGTTCCTAACTGCTCACCTGCCTGCCTGCCTGATCGCCCCTAACTGCCCGCCCTGCTGGCTTGGTCACTCCCAATGCCCCCTTGCCAGCCTAGTTGCCCCTAACTGCCCCCCCGCCAGTTTGGTCTCCCCTTACTGCCCCCCCTGCCAGCCTGATCACCCCCACCTGCCCCTCCCACCCGCCTGGTCACCTTTAACTGCCACCCCCCCTGCTGGCCTGGTTGCCCCTCACTCCCTCCCCGCACCGGCCTGGTCACCCCCAACTGCCACCGCTGCGGGCCTGGTCACCCCATGCAGCCTGCTGCTCAGTCATTTGGTCAACCCTCACTAACCCCTCTGCTGGCCTGATTGCCCCACGCAGCTTGCTGCCCGTTTGTTTGGTTGCCCCTCACCCCCCTGCTGGCCTAGTCACCCCACACAGCCTGTTCGGTTTCGATAGTTGCTTAGACTTTTATATATATAGACTAGTGTCCCAGTGCACGGAATCGTGCACACTGAAAGGAAATTAATTAGAATATTTTAAAATCGCTATTCGCCCTTTCTCTATAATAGAAGTGTCAACCAAATTCATGGTCAACAATGACAGATTGAAACACATATGTGCGGTTGGTGCCAGCGAGAGCTTTATATGTATCGTGCATGCAGGAGTCAACTTAGCCTTTTATAGATATAGATAAACTTGCTTAATTAGACCTGCCTTCTGATTTAGCTAAACTTTTTCCAGCCCAATGAAGCACCTGAACTTCTCTTTCAGGTAATTATCAGCAACACAGCAGTAAATATCAACACAAAGCAGATTATTATTATATCTCACGCAGAGAGAACAAAGGGTAAGATATTTAACTGTAGCAGTGTTTGACTATATTCTGCGCAGTGAGAAAACCTGAAGTGATTTTCAAGGTTCACCATTTCTTACTTCTTTTCAGTCAGGTCAAGTTTCTAAACTTTCTAAATCTCCATTTTTCTGGCTAATAAAAAGAAAATAGGATTCTACCAAGTCTCTATCTACCTACTCGAGGACTTCTGTGAGGATCAAATGAAATGATGCTTGGGGATAAGCTTCACAGGTATTTGGTTGAACTGTAAAATGTTTGCACCTGGCTATAAAGTAAATCAGATTCCTGGCTGAAGAAACTGCAAGGAGGCTAGTCGTTAGGGAGAGGAATCCGGGCGTAGCTATGTGATGTCATTACCTGGTGCCCACAGTGACTGTTTCAGGCTGGGCTGGGCTGTGGGCCACATTTTGCACCATGGGTTCTTGACAGTGTTGGCTGCAATTTGGTGGGGTGTCGCTCCAGGTTGGTGGCAGGGCCTATGTCCCACTTGGAAGAAGCCAAATGTTGGATTGTTGTCGCCAGGTCCATGGTGCCATTTATTTTTAAACTAGAGGCCTAGTGCACAAAATTAGTGCACAGGTAGGGTGCTTACACCTGGCCAGCGATCAGGGCCGATCAGATCCTTCTGGATGCTGGCTGGGGCCTTCTTTCATTCTGTGCCATCCCCTGGTAGTCAGTGCACATCATAGCGAGCAACCAAACTCCTGGTTTCATGGTCAAACTCCTGAGGGATCTTGTCTCTTCTGAAGTCAACTTGACCCCAGGTAACATGAACAAAGTAAATTTGTGTTGGATTTCTATCATTTAAAACCAAAAATAGTACTTTTATTGCTTATTATACTTTCTCAAAAATAAAAATTGACCTTGGCCAATGTGACTTGCCAGGATGTATCTGAAACCTCAGTGGCCAGAGGTCACTGTATCAGAATGCAACAATTTCACATGCTTAGTTACAGAATTCTCCCCAAACTGGAAGAGAGGCAGCAGTTCTAAGGCCACTGCACTCAACATCAATACTAAAGAATCATGAAGGATGTGATGATTAAAATTATTTTCTGTCCCCTCTTCCCACCCTTGCGTGGCACCCCAAGATGCTTCTAGTCTCCTTTCAAGGCAAAACCCCTCCGTCTGATCCCAGGCTGGCTGGGTCACCTCAAAATATGTTGCTTTCATTCTGGAGTGGCTTCCTACCTCTGCTCATTTAAGGAGGTTCAGGATACAGATAACTCACAATACGTTTAGTTATGATAAAAAAGCTCTGTAGGTAGGTAATTGAGTTCAATATGCTTTTCTTGAACAGTCTGTGAGGAGAGAATGGAAACAGAAAAGCACTTCGGCAGGAATAGGAAGAGACTCTGAAGTCAGTGCAGGAGGCACCATCCTTGGGGTGAGGGTCACACAAGGTGACCTGAGGACTGTCAGAGTGACTGTAGGGCTTGATCTCAGAGATGGACAGGTGAATAGATAACTGGAACTCTGGGCAAAGATCGGCACCCATTTCAGAGGAGAGAAAACCAAGCACAATGACATACCTTCAGGAGTCAGTGCAGGAGCCCTGTAAAAGAGAGTGATCAGCACTCGGCATTCTGGGGGGTACTCCCCTTTCTACTCCTCTTGGTGTCCTTGAACCATCAGTTAAAGATGAGGTCCGGGAAATATCATCATCACCCCCCGCAATATCTGTGCAAAGGTGAAATCAGCTAAAGAGGACAAGCACTTCAGCTCCACGCAGATGTGTGAAAGGTGAGTGAGCAGATGTTAACCTTCTGTGGAATATGAAGAAAGACCTCACTCTTTTTAGTAAATTATGATAACTCACCTTCCTTCCACCACTAGTAGTCACTTATAAAGGCCCATAGGCGGGAAGTGGCGCAAAGTGGGCATCATCCCCGTGTCTACCACCCAAGACATGTCTCTGGCTCCACATTTCATAAAAAGATCTACCAAAGTTAAACCCTGATTCTGGATAACAAGGCCAGAGCTTCCTTCAGAATCTGGGTGAGCTTCTCCCCTAACCCTTGATCCCATGACAGGGAATAGGCCATGAACCATGAACTCTGTGACTCACCTCGTCCCCCCCCCCCGTCTTTTTCCTGTCCTTACACCCCCCTCCCCCATTAAGTCAGAGCAGAGACAGTACTTGGGGCAGAGGTCCATCAGATCCTACAAAAAGACTTTACACAGAGAAAGGTCACATTTAACAGCCAGTCCCTCTCCCACCCACAGGAAATGAAATAAGCAACTTATTGGAAATCTATTTCCCTACCCTTCGCCACAAGGCCTTACCCCCTAGGCTACAATCCCCCAAATGAGTGGACCTGTCACTAGAAGGAAGAGAAGCCAATGCGCTGACCTTCTTAAAGAAGCAGCTTCTGGAAAGGGGCCAGCGAGACAGTGATGAGCTCTCAGCCCCAGGACACTCGCCACAGTCACGCCTGTGGCAGGGCTGCCTTTCAACCAGTAAAATCCAGTCCAAAGCCTGGCCTAGCTGTCTGTCTCCTCCCACCACCAGCCCGGCCTCCTGCCTTCCAGGTCAGGAGGAGAGTTACACGTACAAGCAGAGGCCCCCTCAACAGAGGGTCCCAGGCACAGCCCCTCTTTCTGTTTCCCGAGTTGCTTACCCTTCTGTTTCCTGTGACGGATGACAAGGCCCAGGCCCAGGAAGAGCAGCCCCAGCACGAAGACCCCAATACCACTCAGCATCTTGCTCTGGGCGGATCCAGACTGTGCCCCTGGGGAGCAGAGCCTGGGTATCAGATTCTGTCCCCAAACCCACAGGGACCCTTTGGAAGCCGCCACCCCTGGAGTGGGACCAGCCAATAAACCCTTGGACACTGTGGGTGATGACAGGGAAGAAGTAGATCCTGTTCCTTCACATGCATCCTTCACCTTGGATTCTAAGCCCCGTCACCAGCCGCCATAGTCATGGTGTAGAGTGACCTCCTTAGTGTCTGGAAAGACAATGAGATCAGGAATCTTCTGATGCCCCTGCTTCAGAATGAGGTGGCCTAGCGTCCTGTGATGTCCACTCAGCAGTGACATCAGCGGTAGGGATGTGATGGGACAGCCAGGGGCCGCTGTCTGCCCTCTGTCTGTGGGGCCCAGGGTGCAGGAAAGAAACTGCCCCTTACGCCACTCCACTGTGATGGGGCTCTGCAGGCTGGGGTGCTCCACGCGGCAGGTGTAGATGTCTCCTCACCGGGGGGTCATTTCCAGCATCACCAGGACCTGGTAGGTCCAGTCCCCGTTCCTAATCAGGGGAGTGGACACGACGCCGGCTGTCTCCTCCTGGTCGTCCCGGAACCAGCGGACTTTGATGTGGGCTGGATAGAAATCCGTCACCGAGCAGACCAGCATGTTGTGGTGAGTTATGGCCTCTGTCTTGGCCAGGGAGATGGTCACTGTAGGCTCCACTGTGAGGGGAGGGGTAACAGAGGAAAAGACGGAGTGAGATGTGGGGGCACAGGCAAGTCTCCCCACGGGAAGGGTCCTCCCTGTACCAGCAGGAAAGATCCCTGGATTCCGAGTCCAGGATGAGGACCTGAGCGGGGCCACTTGATTAGCCTGAGTTAACAGTTAACTTTTCAGTCTCAAGAGCTAACAGCAATCATTTTATAGGAGTTATTCTGTTAACAATTAATAAAAATGAAGCCTTTAAATGTTTAAATTGCTAGGTTATACAGGTCACTATTCACAATGTTTTTAAATAAAGATGAAAAACCTGGACTTCTTTTCCCTCCACCTGTTGATGGTGACCGTGGGGATCAGCTCTAGGTACTCACACCAGGGCAGTGACCCTGTTCCCTGTTGGTCCCGCAGCTCCTCACAGTGGAGAAAATACCTCAGTTTGCGTCTCCTGGGGGCCCATCAACACTGGTCACGGCTCCATGAACAGTAACACGGACTGAGAATTAGGAACATCACAGACAGTTCTATGTCCAACAGAGCAGGACAGCAGTGACCAGCACATCCCTCCTCTGAAGCAATGCGCTCAAACAGGCTCTTCCCTACCATTCTCAGCGGGAAACACGGACAGGATTTAAGGGCAGGAGCACTTCTCACATGTCATCCATCAACAAACCTCTCTCAGCTGTTAGCCTAACCCAGCCCAGATGCCATTCTGTGGCAAACTCCCATTAAGTTGTATATTATTAAATAATAAACCTCATGTCCACGTCATCTATGCCACCTATGTTTTATCCATTTACTGATTCATTTATTCATTCATTCAACAAATATAAATTGCACAAGCACTAGGAATAAAAAGATAAAAAACAGACCATGGCCCCTGCCCTTATAGAACTTCCAATCTAGTAACAGAAACAAAAAATAAATGTTATTTCAAAAGTTTGTAATTATTTGAAGGAAAAGAAAGGGAAGCCTGAAAACAAGTGATACTACAGAAATTACATTTGCCCATGTCTCGAGTCCTTTATCTTCTCAAGTTGTTACTCATGATCAAATACGATACACCTCTCCCTACCTATATACACATCTTCTCCTTTACCTCTTTAGCCATTTTACTGCATCTCCCTTAGTCCCACAGTGTGAAACTGTACTAAATATTCCAGCCTCCCCGTCTCTATCCCCTTACCATTAAGTGCTTCCTTGTTCTGAAATCAGACGTTATCACATGTATGCTCTCTGTAGAAAACACCCAGAGAACCTTGCAGAGGTGGCCTGGGTTGATGAGAACGTGAAGTGAACATGTAAGTAAGTGGGCCTGGCTGGGGTCAGCAGGAGTCTCAGTGCGCCCTTCATAAGGCACTCCTGAGCCATCGCCTGGAAGGAATCACGCTTTCTGCTTAGAGATTGACTCTTGTCTGGTTCTCCTTCCTGGGAACTGAAATCATGGTCAGCTAGCTGGATTTTAAAAACCTGTCAGCTTAGATTGAGATTAAAAATAGAGGTCACAAGTTCAAGAGAAAAATGTTAGAATAATTATTATGAAAAAGACCTGAAATCGCAAAAATATAAGTACTTGGTGGCATTAGGATGTGGGGCAGAAAGTGAGAGAGTGTAAAATCAGCTAAGATTTATCTGAACATGTACAGATAATACTGGTGCCAGGCCAGGGATTCATCAGTGAATTTTCAATTTCCTGAAATTATCATTTTGTCCCACCAACATTGAAAATTGGCATGAACATGGGTAGCCTGGCCAGTGTGCCTTAGTGGTTCATCATTGACCCATGAACCAAGAAGTAACCTGTTTGATTCCCAGTCAGGGCACATGCCCGGGTTGTGGGCTCAAAACCCAGTTGGGGACATGCAGGAGGTAGCCAATTTATGATTCTCTCTCATTCTCCTCTTTCTAAAAATCAATGAAAACATTTTTAATTGATTTCAGAGAGGAATGAAGAGAGAGAACAAGATAAAAACATCAATGATGAGAGAGAATCATTGATCAGCTGCCTCCTGCATGCCCACAACCTGGGCATGTGCCCTGACAGGGAACTGAACCTCAACCTCTTGGTTCATAGGTTGATACTCAACCACTGAGCCATGCCGTCCAGGCCAATGAAAACATTTTTTAAAAAGAAAATAGGCAAGAACAGACTCATTTTGCTCCTTCTGGTCATAAGTGCTTTAATGAGGCTATGCTTCCATTATATACATGTAGTATACACATGCAATACAGAACACAATGACTTCTGTGTATCTGGGGGAGGCCTCAGGACCTCATGAATAACTGTAGGTTATTACTTAGTATTTGTTATGTAAAAATATTAGCATATTAAAGTGGTCATGCTAACTCCTAACACACAAGTAGTTGTGAAATTAAATAGCATAATATAGATGGTGTTTGGTAAGGTAATTGTCAAGAAATAAACACTCATTAAATGGTTATAATTAACATTCAAAATATCTACCCCTGAAGCTAATGATGATTCTGTGTGTGGGAATGCAGCCTGGAGCAGCCACTGGAGAAAGCAGTATGAACTTACCTCAAAAGAAATAAAAAATGGAACTGCTTTATGACCCAGCAATTCCACTTCTGGGGATATATCTGTAGAAACCTGAAACACTAATTCAAAAAAACATATGCATCCCTATGTTCATTGCAGCATTATTTACAATAGCCAAGATTAGGCAGCAGTCCAAATGCCCATTGGTAAGTGAGTGGATAAAAAATCTGTGGTATATTTATACATTGGAATGGTTGTTAAAAAGAAGGAACTCTTACTTTTTGAGACAATGGATGGACCTGAAGAATATTATGCTAAGTGAAATAAGCCAGTCAGAGAAAGACATATGATCTCACTTATATGTGGAATCTAATGAACAAAATAAACTAACAAAAAAAAAAAGAAAGAGAACAAAGCGATAGCTGTCAGATGGGAGGAGGGTTGAGGGGCTGGGTGAAAAAGGTGAAGGATTAAGCAAAAAACAAATAAAAACAAAAAAAAACTCATAGACACAGACAACAGTATGGTCATTACAAGGGGGAAAGGGGATTGAGGAGGAAGGAGATGACAACAGAGGGAAAATAAATGGTGAGGAAAGGAGTCTTGATTTGGGGTGCTAAACACACAATACAATATACAGATGGTACATCGTAGAATTGTACACCTGAAACCTATTTAATTTTATTAACCAATGTCACCCCAACAAAATTCAATTAAAAATATCTACCCCTGAAATGGATTCTGGGGAGACGGGAGACAAAGAGAGAGAAGATAGGCAGGGTGTAGATAAAATGAAACCCTGAAACAATATTTATTCAATAATTTTTTATTTTTTATTAATTAAATCTTTATTGTTCAGATTATTACATTTGTTCCTCTTTTTCCCCCCATAACTCCCCTCCACCCAGTTCCCACCCCATCCTCCTCCCTCACACCCCACCCACTGTCCTCATCCATAGGTGCACAATTTTTGTCCAGTCTCTTCCCGCATCCCCCTCACCCCTTTCCCCCCCAAGAATAGTCAGTCCACTCCCTTTCTATGCCCCTGATTCTATTATAATCACCAGTTCATTCTGTTCATCAGATTATTCACTTGATTTTTAGATTCACTTGTTGATAGATGTGTATTTGTTGTTCATAATTTTTATCTTTACCTTTTTCTTCTTCTTCCTCCTCTTAAAGAATACCTTTTAGCATTTCATATAATACTGGTTTGGTGGTGAAGAACTCCTTTAGCTTTTCCTTATCTGTGAAGCTCTTTATCTGACCTTCAATTCTGAATGATAGCTTTGCTAGATAAAGTAATTTTGGTTGTAGATTCTTGGCATTCATCACTTTGAATATTTCTTGCCACTCCCTTCTGGCCTGCAAAGTTTCTGTTGAGAAGTCAGCTGACAGTCATATGGGTACTCCCTTGTAGGTAACTGAGTTTCTTTCTCTTGCTGCTTTTAAGATTCTCTCTTTGTCTTTTGCTCTTGGCATTTTAATTTTGATGTGTCTTGGTGTGGTCCTCTTTGGATTCCTTTTGTTTGGCGTTCTCTGTGCTTCCTGGACCTGTAAGTCTATTTCTTTCACCAGGTGGGGGAAGTTTTCTGTCATTATTTCTTCAAATAGGTTTTCAATATCTTGCTCTCTCTCTTCTTCTGGCATGCCTATAATTCAGATATTGGTACGCTTGAAGCTGTCCCATAGGCTCCTTACACTATCTTCATATTTTTGGATTCTTTTTTCATTTTGCTTTTTCAGTTGGGTGTTTTTTGCTTCTTCGTATTTCAAATCGTTGACTTGATTTTTGCAATCCTCTAGTCTGCTGTTGGGAGTCTGTATAATATTCTTTTTTTCAGTCAGTGTATGCTTAATTTCTAGTTGGTCCTTTATCACAACCTCGAGGGTCTCATTAGATTTTTTGTAGGTCTCATTAAGTTTATCGGCAGTTTCTAGAAAATTCTTGAAAAACCTTAAGAGTGTGGTTTTGAACTATATATCCAGTAGTTTGCTTTCCTCCATTTCTGTCATTTGTGTCCTTTTTCTTTGTCTCGGCATTTTTTATGCTTTCTTGTATTGATAAAGTGGTTTTCTGTGCTAAGTGTCCTCTAGGGCCCAGTGGCTCAGCCTCCCCAATTACCTGAGGAGGACACTCTTGGTGCACCCCCTTGTGGTCTTTGTGCACAGTCTTGTTGTAGTTAAGCCTTGATTGTTGTAGGTATCACTGGGAGGAATTGACCTCCAGGCCAATTGGCTGTGAGAATCAGCTGTGTGTGCAGTGGGAGAACTTCTATGCTGGAGACACCCCTCCGGGGCAAGACTTGCTTCAATGGGGCTTTGGTGCTCACTGAGTCTGCTCTCTGAGCATGTCCTTTATGGTTCCATGGAGCTGCAAAGTGGATGGTCCCACTCTGACCTCTGGGTACACTGGCTCCTGGATCTCTAGGGAGGTGCTAATCTAGACTCTGCCTGAGGCTATCCATCAAAAGCCTCCCTGCAGGGCTTGGGTGGGGCAGGTCCCAGGGGATCAACAGGGTGGGGCTAGCAGTTATGGCTGCTCTCAGAGGCCCAGTTTCTCAGTGTCTCGCCAATCGCTGAAAGCCCCTCTGAGAGAAAGCTGCCCTCGAGTTCCAACCAATGCCAGACAGTCCCGCTTCTCCCGTATGAGTCTGGTCCCCAGAGACTCGCCCGGAACTGGAGCTCAGAGCCTGAGACTCCCTCCAGATTGAAAATGACAACGGCGCCCTCAGCCGCCAGCCCGCTCCGTGTGTGCCTCTGTACCTTAGTATTTTACTTCCTCACTGCGCCTCCTCTGAGTCTCGGTATGCTTTTCTCATTCCTTCTAGTTGTAGAATTTCCACTCAGCTAGCCTTCCTGTGGTTCTGGATGATGTCCGTTCCATCTTTTATTGTATTTTTGAAGTGGTTGTTCGAGGCAGCAAACTCCGGTGTTTACCTATGCCGCCATCTTGGTTTTCTGTCTATTCAATAATTTAATAAAATTTATTTTCTTCAAAACTTCAGTTCTATTGTGCCATTTGTTGAGCTTTCTAAGAAATTAAAATTCTGCCTTACACCATTAAAGTGTTGTTTTGCTTTTTAGCAAATACTTTTTTCTCAGAGTTTGCATTCACAAATTCTGAATTATTAAGACCCCCAAGTCAACAAGAGTTTACTGCATTAAGCAAAATAGCACAAATAATAAAGTCAATTTTAAGGCTCTACTTGCCCTTCTGTTTTCTACTGGGCCTCAGTGATGGCAGCTGAGAATGTACTCATTAGTCTCAGAAAGGCTGAGTGAGCGCATTACGCCAGGGAATGTGTAGGCAGAGGCCCAGAAACATAACTGACAGTCGCTGCTAAAAGAGGTGAAGGAGTAGTGACAGACATTTAGGAAACAGAATTCAGGCCCAAGCGTGAAAACACTTGGTCACGACTGTTATATATTGCACGTGTGCACAGGGCTTGGAGCCGCCCACCCCACCAGGGGGTTAAACTGGAGGCAGGCCTGCTAGGGGCTCACAGCAGCGCGGGGACACGAGCACAGGGACACCAGGCACAGGGACATGAGGCACGGGGCAGCTCCCGCAAAGTGAGGGACAAGGAGGCAAACACACCTGAGCAGGAGTGGGGTGGGGGGGTTGGCTGGGGGTACAGAATGGGTGGAAAGAGGAACAGGCCTTGCGGGCTCTCAGGGACTTGGCGGGTTGCGGGTCTGGGCAGGTGCCGCCCCCCGGTGCCACCCCCTGTCCAGTGCCTGGTCCCCCTGGGTCCCGATCCAGGTCCCTGTCCTAGGTCCCCTTCCATCCCCCTCAGCCCCCCTTAGGTCCCCCGTTGGTCCGGCGGCCATCTCGCCCTTGGTCTTCCCTCCTCTTCCTAACAAAGCCCAGCTGTGGTTGCAGAGCCGCACCTCCCAGGTGGAGATACTTCCTGGCTGAGGGGGTGTGAGCCGGCACTCACCTCGCCTCTGGAGGGTCGCGGGGGCCTCAAGCTGGTAGTTGTATCTGCACAACGTGTCCACATAGGCCCGCTCCCGCTCCAGGAGGTCCTTCTGGCCATTCCAGTACTCGGCTTCAGGCCGCCCCAGCGGGGTCAGCGCGCGGAACTCCCCCACTTCGCTGTCATAGCGCACGTACTCCTCCAGGTTGTAGAGGTGTCTGACCACCAGCCGCACGCGCTGCGTCCCATTGGTGAAGTAGCAGAGAGCCTTAAACTGGAGCACGAAGTCCCCTGCGGGAGTCGCCAATCAGGCCTCGGCCCCTGGCCAGAGCAGCTGGTGCGCCTGGGGACAGGCTTGCAGCCCCACCAGACCCAGCCTCGGCCCCACCCTGCGCCCCGGCCCAACCCTCAGGAGGCTCCTCCGCCCACTCCCCCGCCCCTGCCAAGGCCATAGAAACTGCCCGCCTGGAGGGAGGGGACAGTGTCTCCTGGACGCCCTGGGGCCTGGGATCCCGCCTGAGCCTGACACCAGTTGGGCCCGCAGTCTGAGATCTCACATCCAGGCCCTGCCTTAGAGCGGTCAGGACGCCCTCCCCTGAGGTCCCATTTCCCAGGGAATCCGGGAATCTCAGAGACCAGGGTCCCCACAGGCCAGAGAGTCCAGGGAGCAATGACAGAAAGCCAGGAACCAGTGTCCTGGCCCCACAGGCTCTCTCTCGCCCCTCCTCCTGGCACAGACCTTCCCCCCAACAGTGCTGTCCCAGGGACCAACCCCTCCAACCCCAGAAAGGGAGGCTCCTCATGGAAAGGGCACAGGCTTCCGAGTTAGATCAGCTAGGTCCCAGGGGGGCTGTGCCAACGGCCAGCTCGGGCGGTTGCCCAGAGCACCCACAGCATAAAGGTAATTGTGTAGAAAGACAAGGACACCTACACCAGGGGTGGTGGGAAGCCTGACAGAGTTTACATGGAGACAGAATCCTGTCTGAAATAAAGGCTTCTCAGCATGTCATCCCCTCTTCACTTTCCCTTTCTCCTCAGTTCCCTCCACCATCAACTGACCAATCCCACCCCCTCACTGTGTGACCCCAAGTCCTGGGAGGAAGCTGAGCCCCTGCCTGTGGCACCAGGTCAGCTGCCCGGATGCCAGGGTTTGCTGCCAGCCCTCCGCTCAGACTCAGGGATGGGGAGCCCTTTCCCCCAAATTTGACACCACAGACCTGCCTCACATGGTTCCCCAACCAGAGCCCCTTAGTCTTTAATTCAGAGAAGGTCTTGGGGACAAGTCCTGCTGTCTCCTCTTTGGAAACATCCTATCTTCCTTCAAAAATAACCATTTTCCTGTCACTGGCAGTGTCCAGTCTCCTCCCTCCCACTGTGACATCCCCAGGCTGGAGCCCCTGAGATGGCCATGTCCTCACCTTGTCACCAGACGGCGGACATGAGAACATAGCAGCTCCCTTTCCCAAAGAGGAAATGCTGATCACAGACTGTTCTCAGGTCATAGCCCCCCATGCACCAGCCACGGGTCCCTCAGAGCCCACCCCGGGCTGGCGGTGGGGCAACTGCCCTGCACTCACGTGGAGAGTCTCCGCCCTCAGCCCCTGGGACACTGAGCGCCACAAGCCACACCATCACAGCTGCTGTCCAGGGGCCTCCGGGGGCCCTCAGAGCCGGCTTCCCCGACATGATGGAGACAAAGGAAGAAGTAAGGGGAGTGAGCCCGGCTTATGCAGCCACTTCAGAGAATAGAAACCTGTGAGAGCTGCCACTCAGGGTCAGACTGGAGAGTCCCCAGGAAAGCAGCCAATCAGCACTGGAGCTGACCCACCTCATCTGTCTCCGGGCAGATGCTTTCTACGGAGGTCCCTTAGCCAGTGCCTGGAACCCAGCCTTCATCGAATTGCTCTGGATGAGCATTTGAAGACTTTTCTTAGTTACAGAAGGTGAATGCCTTGGGAATTAAAGAACCAAGAGAGAAAGGTGATCCAGGAGTGGGCATCTCTGTGATATTCAGTTAAAACCTTTGTGATATTCTTACACTTGAGATTTTTAGGAGGGGAAATAAGTGGGGATCATGTATCAGGGAAAGAAAATCATTGTCAGGAGATGCTCCCTCCTATTATCTTAAACACTCAAGGAGCCTGAAGTCTTGGTGCATTATGAGCTGCAGCTCTACCTCGAATGTGCTTTATGAAACTACAAATTACTCAACCTCTTTTACCCTCGGGTTTCTCTTTGGAAAATGTGGATCATGTTTCATGCATTTTATACCTACACCTTCTTACACACATACTCACAGCAATATGACTGCTCTGATACTGCAAAGTGTTCTGCTGTGCTACATGTGGAGCTGTTGGGACTATCACACACAAAATACAGGCGCCCCTGCTGGCCAGTGGGTCTTCCTTATGTGAGAATTTACTGCATTTGTGCTCTTTGAATGCAAGTCTTTGAAAGTTAAGATGATTTTTCTTTTTCTTGTTTGTTTGTTTGTTTGTTTGTTGGATGCAGCCTATTGCAAACTCTTAAAACTCTCCATATGAGGATTTTCTCAGCCTGCCATTGGGGCCGGCCACAAGAGCTGGGCTTTAATGGCCGTGGAGTATCTGAAAGCTAAGGAAAGATGAGAATAAATACCCCTGCTCCTGCACCTGTCCAGGGGATATTCTGAGGCAGATTCTACATTGAGGTTGATTTTTCTCTTCTAAGCTCTTCGGCTGCTTCAGTCCTCCCTGATCCATCTGATGTCACAAAGGCACAACCACAAACATCCACATCAACAGGACACAGCACATGTAGCTCCAGCCAGAGAGCAAAGACGTGGAGAAGCACCCTGGGGCCTGCACCATGTGACTGAGGGAGCAGGTGTTCACACTCACAGCTCATGCTGTGCGGCCCCTGAGCATCAAACCCCACAGGCAGAACTATTGATGGGGTTTTTAATAAATGTATTATTCCTCAGGCTCCTCTCGCCCAGGGCGAGGGGTAATACTGAATGATTATAGAGCAATTAAGACGATGTTTGGCAAACATTAATAAACAAGACAATAAGGATCTCTCCCTCTCTCCTATATTTTAGGTTCTTTTAAATTTGAGAACAGGATCTGAAAGCAGAACATAAGGAGTTCACCAGGTAAAAGAAGCAGAGAGGAGGCAGTGACAAGAGGTGGCATTAGTGGCACGTGGAGGCTGTGAGCTGGTTCCGATTTCTCTGTTGGGTGCATCTCTCTGAAGCCCCTGAGCCAGGGGATCGGCCCTGGGCTCCGACCAGCAGTGGTGGGTCAGGGTCAGGGTCACTCCAGAGTCAGGGTGGAAGCATAGGGGAGGAACATCCAACTCAGACCTGGAATGGGGCTGGGGGACAAGGAACAATAGAGACGGAACTTGAAGGTGCCTCAGTGCCCTAAGTCCCCACCTCAGGGTCCCTCAGAATCAGCAGAGGCCTCTGGCCCATCACCTCCCTCCTGTCGTAGGAGGGAAATTCCATCAGTTCTGTTCTGGACCGTGCACTCGGTTCTGCTCTGCTCTAGGCTGTGCAGAGGAGGCTGAGTCAGGCCTGGGGATTCCCAGTTCTCACAGGCCTCTTCACACAGGCTTCTTTGCTAGCAACAGAGTTGTCAGAGTAGACTCTTTTTTCTGATTGGCTAAAATCTCATCTGAAAGGTCTTCTTTGGGCTTCTGCCAGCTGCTTCCCCTCGCCCAGTCAGCATTCTCTACATTTTCTAGAGTTTTCTGCACTGTCCCCACCCTGGCTACAGTACCCAGGGCAGCTGCTGCTAGCCCAGCCTGGCCTGGGAGGAAGGCATCTCACCTGAACCACCTGGCTGGGCTCCTGTGGAGGCAGGGCCCTTAGGGTGAGGGAGTGTGTGCCACGTGGGTAGGTGTTGCAATGAAGGAGCAGCCATTAATATGAGTGCGGGTTATGGGAGGGAGACTCCCCAGGGATGTCCTCTGTTCCCTCTGGTGGAAGCTTAAACTTGGGGACTCCCTCCTGGTGGGAATTCAGGGAGAACCCGCCTTCCCTTGTCTGAGTCCTTGGAATCTGCGCTGGTCAGTGGGGTTCACCGCGAAAATAGTAACCATCTGTCACCGAAGCGCCATCCAGGACCCGTTCTGCATTCACTGCAGGAACCAGAAACATTGTTGGTTTTAAAGGGTCTGTGGCCTCCTTAATGCAGCAGTCACATGGAAACAGTCCCCAGAGCATTATTTCCCTTTAATAACAATTCACCAAGCATTCATCCCTAAATTTTTCTAAATTTTATGGAGCTACTCACATATGTCCCCATATGAACGCTTAGGTAACCAGTTAGATGCATTTCCCATGACACATATAAAGTAGGACCTTTCTCCACACAACCTATCTCTTTAAAATCACATTTTACAGGATCTGAAGAGTCAAATTAGTAACAGAGTGACATGGATAAACATTTCAACACGAAAGACTCAGGTTTCCCTCATCTGTAGGTGGAACACACACCTCACAGGACCGTCATGAGCGCAGACATACCTGTAAGAGTCCCCACGATCCGTGCTGAGCCACATGCACGTTAGTTTGGACGAAACTTATGGGTTCATCTTTGTTGACATCACAAACAAATACAGAGATGTCTTCTTGTTATTTCTCATCTCTGTTCACATGTTGGAATTTCTATGATTTTTAATCCCTACCACTTACCCCATCATTACAGAGAGAAAAGGGGGAAGAGGTAGAGCACATTAGATGCATTTGACCATGAACCCCCTGCCTTTCCCTCTGAAGTGCCAGCACAGAACTGACATTTAATTACAACTTTGATTCTCAGCGCCTGGTCCTCCCCTCAGTGGGCTCACTAATGGGGAAACCTGAGTACAAAACACAGAGTCACACACAAATCGATGAGAGAAGAACGAAGTGAGTGCAGCTTTGTGAGCTACTTGGCCTAGGAGGACAGACTTCACCCATCTTCACTGGATTTAGAGGAAGAGGACCTGGCCGCTCCTCACTGTAGCTGCTGCCAAAGGTCTAATAGCCCTGTCCCAGGTTCAGGCTGAATGCCCTGTACTCCCCACCCATGATCAGGGTCCCAGGCAACTCAGCTCCAACACCTCAATGCAGTCTTATTTCCTGTAGTTCTGTCGCCCTTCCCAAAACCCAGCAGATCCCCAGACGGTGGGTACTGTACAATATTTTTATATCACTAGAGAGTTAAGGTCCTGAGTTTTGAGGATGGAAATATAAGGATTCTCCCTTCTAGGATTCACATGCAGAAGGGGAGACACACGTGAGGAAAAAATGAAAAGACAAAAGTTTGCAGCAGCCACTAAGGGGAATGGCATACACACTGACTAAAAACAGTGTTGAAGGTTCAGGATACAAAACTATAAACTGGTAATGGTGGCTGTTGGTTCAGTTACTTGCTTTTCTCTTAGAATGGGCTGATAACATAGGGCCAGAGGATTATGGTTATTTGTGGATTAATTCATGAATGATACTTTTTCAAGATGAGGGTGACAGGGCGTCGACGGTGTAGAGGTCATGACGGGACTGAGACAGGTTTCCAGGTGTGCTTCTCAGGGAGGTGATGGCTCAGAATTAAGGACCTTTCCAGGCAAGAACATCCTGCCCCACCCAACCCTGGCCGCTCCACCCGGTGCTCACTGCCCACAAGCCCGGATCAGCATGGGCGGGCAGTGCGGGACGCCTGCCCCCAGCAGCTCGGCTCATGTGCACATGAGCACTGCCCACAGGCCTACCATCTTTGTCAGGTTAATTTGCATATCACTCCGATTGGCTGTTGGGCATGGCTGTTGGGCATGGCTTGAGCATAGCGGAGGCATGGCTAATTTGCATGTTTCTCTTTTATTGTAACACTAGAGGCTTGGTGCACAGACTGTGCCCTCTCGCAGTCTGAGAACCCTCAGGGGATGACCACCGCTGGCTTAGGCCTGCTCCTCAGGGGATTGGGCCTAAGCTGGCAATCAGACATCCCTCTGGCAGCCCGGAAGCCCTTGGGGGATGTCCACTTGCCAGCGGGGAGCAGGCCTAAGCTGCAGTCGGACATCCTTAGTGCTGCTGAGGAGGCAGGAGAGGCTCCCACCACCACCGCTGTACTGGCAGCCATCAGCCTGGCTTGTGGCTGAGCAGAGCTCTCTCATGTGGGAGCGCACTGACCACCAGGGGGCAGCTCCTGCATTGAGTGTCTGCCCCCTGGTGGTCAGTGTGTTTCATAGTGACCAGTCATTCCCAGTCGTTCTGCTGTTAGGGTCAGTTTGCATATTACCCTTTTACTATATAGGATAGAGGCCTGGTGCATGGGTGGGGGCCGGCTGGTTTGCCCTGAAGTGTGTCCCGGATCAGGGTGGGGGTCCCGCTGGGTGCCTGGCCAGCCTGGGTGATGGGCTGATGGTTGTTTGCAGCTGGCTACACCCCCTTCAGGATGGGGGTCCACACTGGGGTGCCTGGCCAGTCTGGGTGAGGGGCTGAGGGCCATTTTCAGGCTGTCCTGCGACTGAAGCTCCCAGCCTCTCCTTTTTTTTATTCAGGGATTTATTTCCCTTCTATAATTGAAACTCTGTTGCCATCACTGGCGCTCCCAGCTCTGAGGCCACGGCCTGCTGAAAGCAGGTATCTGGGGTTTTTTTGCTTCTATAATTGAAACTTTGTTACCGTCCTGCTCGCTCCAGCTCTGAGGCCGCAGCTGGCTGAAAGCAGGTATCTGGGGTTTGTTTGGCTTCTATAATTGAAACTTTGTTGCCATCATAGGAGCTAAAAGCCGGGCTCCTGCTCGCT